ATCGCAATTCATTTTCCAGTTTACCCACGTTTATCATGGGGTAAAATTTGGAGACAGTAGCCAACAAATGGATGGGAAATTGACGTGCAAATTTTGAAAAATTTTTGGGGTTCATCAAAGAGAACGCGGCAAGGTGTTCAGTGCGCAGACGATCGCCTATTTGATTCACCAGAATGTCACAGCATTCCTTTGCAGACAAAATCAAACGCTGCGTTGTTTGCCCGCGGCGTAAAGAAGCACTCCATGTGTCGTCGTATTTTATTGTTTCCCGGATACGAGATACAGCATCGCAGAAGTCTGAAATACACGACTGCACAGACGCTCCATCCTTTAGCCTTGACTGCAATGCGCCGTATAATACATCCACATGATAGAATATTGTGGAGAAAAAAGCGAGAAAAATTGAAAACTCACCATCTTCTAGCAGACGCTTTAGACCTGCCGCCTCCCTCACAGAGCGTTCGTCCCAAACCGGAGAGCTCTGAATGCCATTGAAACACTCAATGAGCTCAGACCTAATTTCGGACACGCCCTGCACCACGCGTGATTGGAAGTTCCAACGTGTTGGTTCACAAGCTGGGAGACGGCGGCTACATATCTGGCGAAGGAGGTCAGAGCGCTTCGGCGAAACGGAAAAAAATGAAGAAAACCCCGAAACATTTGCAAAAAATATACGGACGAGAGGGGTATCAAGACACATATTTTTAATAACAAAGTTAAATTGGTGTGCATAACAATGTAAATCTTCTTTTATATAAACTTGAACACCATGTTTCGACCCACTCATGACTGCCGCGCCGTCATAAGTTTGAGCTATCTATCAATTTTGACTTCGCGTTGTAAGGCTGTAACACTTCTTTCAGTACAGCCGATATCCCGCAAGCCGTGCGATCAACGATTGGTACAAAGCTGTGAAATCTCTCGGTAGGTTTACCATCTTTCACAAACCGAAAAATCACAGCCAGTTGGATGATGTCAGTTGTCTCGCCAGTCGCCAGACTGAATCGAAAGGAACTGGCAATTCTCAATTTCCAGAGCCAAATGTTGTAAATAAATTTTATACATTGAGTCGAGCAAATCATTATGGATATCCTTAGATGTCCCTTTCGAAACAGTTGCGGCATCAAGATGATCTCTCAATACGGTATCTAGGGATGCGGTGTATTCCACCATATCCAAAAAAAAAACCTCTATTAGAAGAGCCAGCCCGTTCATCGTGCCCGCGGAGGGACAGCTCGTGACAACCAATGAACTTCAAAACATCTATCAATCGACCGAGAACATGGCGGTTTTTCTCCACGTTTTGGTTGTGACGACGAATAGAAACCGCGCGTCCTTCATCCAACTGTGCTGCAATATTAACATTTCCGAATGTTCGGTATTTTACTGCATTGTCCAGATGCTCCATAGAAGATTGATGATCCCTGGCACGCTCGGAAAGATGTTTAAGATCTCTAAAACCAAATTTACACCAACGTGAGTCACGGGCGGTAGCAAAAAGTAGGCAATAAAAACAAAAAAGTGCATTTTTGTCCTCGCTGTAACACAACCATTCGTGTTTTTTATACCAAGTTTCTGCGCAGAATGTACGCCGACGCTTTCCTCGGTCATGGGATTGTTCCAGTAAACAATTTTTTGGTTGATAAGGCCCAAGACGTTGTACCTCTAATTTTTGTTCCAGCGGCAGCTGCGAAAACGGAGTGCGAAGAAGTGCATCAACCTTATTCATTATGAGGTCTAAGGCTAAGAAATGCGAAGCCGGAAAGAAGTGAGGAGCTCAAAAGGAATGTGGAAAATTGAAAGCAAATGGACTAAAGGTTTCTAACTGATTCAAATAGCGAAACAAGCGACAAAAACGAAGGCGAGGAAACTATCAACTCTTCAAGCAACCAATGAATATGTCAACACGTTGTTGTAAGAAACGTCGGCATTGTGTCGTCATAATTTCGGGGCTAGCCACGATCGGCCCCGATGATTTAGTAAAAGAAACAGAAAACAAACGAGACAAACGCGGCGAGTGGAAGATAAAAGAGAGAATACGATATACAATGAGCAACCGGGGCAAAATCGGCGTCGCCCCGTCGACGTTCGGCGAAGGCTTTGCGAGCGAAAAATGAACCATGTCGGGAGAATATGGCTAGTGTAGACAGTCTGTGCAACCGATATTGAGGTATTTATCGAATATTTTTTATTATACCGAAAAAACAACCGGGGCATTGCCCCGGTTGGCCCTATTGACGCGCCGCCACTGCTCAAATTACCATGGCAATCCGCGGACATGAAATGAGAAACAAAGTTAAGAGAACGAAGTCATCGTGGACTACCGTATATCCTGAACAACGCTGTTATCATAAGATATTAGAAACAAAGTCACGTTGCCCACAAAAGAACATGTTTATATAACTACTACCGGTGTCAGAAGTTTGATAAGATATTTGTGCCCTTCCCGATTAATTCATAATCGTAATCATGGCTGATTGCGTGGCAGTGTGGTAGATATAGCGAATTCGACAAATTTGAGCCGTTCTTGCAACACTAACTCCTATCGCGCGGGTCTGCGTCTCAGATTCTTTGCAAGATATCGCCGTTTAAAAATTCACAAGGTCTAGGCAAAATACGAACGATTGAAATTTATGTTATTGCACGCGGTTCCGTCGGTAGTCTCAGAATGGATAAAAGGTACATCGCGCGCATAATTGACCGTTTCGATTTCAGTTACTACGATAAATAACCAAAGAAAATCTAACATAACACCAAATTTTGGAATTTACAATGTCTAAAAAAGCTTTTATCTGTCGTGAGTCTGTTGAAACAAAACTTAGTGTTATCCTCCGTCTTAAGTTTTAGTTTTAATCATTCAGAATGCCGCATTTCAATCAAAGAATTTGAGTTGCGGATTAACCTCTTTATTAATTTATTTTGCCTCTCTTCGCCGATCAAGCAATGACTATAATATGGTAACGATGCTTTCACATTGAACTCATAATTCCCCACGAGAACAAAAGAGCCATTATCGTCGTCATTGTGGAACGATACATGTATATACCGTAGGAAATTTTTGATTTAGGGAAAATAAACACCGACGTAAAGATGTTAAGGTTTTAAAAAACACGCAACGCTGACGAAAATAATCGGCGATTGTAACAAAATGCAACCGCGCGCGTTATCAGTGAACTTTTAAGTCTTTTAAAAATATCAAAAGGGACAACATTCGACCCCTAATTTATTAATACGTTTGTCAAGCGTCAAATTTACAGCCTTTATATATATAATTTATCTGTGAAATTTAGAATTATTTATGGCTTGTATTAAACCCATTAAAAAAGGTTTAGCTTTTAAATTCTTAAAGTACCTTTAACTTACTCAGGAATATTATTCGGAAAGTAACAATTTTAAAATTTATTTTGGGGCTCCGTGAATATTAGTCAACCTCTTCACGGGCTCCGCAAGACCAAAAGTTTGAAAACCCCTGGAGTATAGGATTACTATGTCAGTTTTTTCAGAAGCATTGATTTTCTGAAGAAAACTGTAAACCAGCAGCTGTTTCAGAAATCTACTCGCGCATAATTATCCCCCATGTGTTTTTTACTTTGCACGATTAATCAAATGATGGAAACCTGATGAATCATTGCTTTGAATTTCGAAACCATGATAGGTTTGCAACTTACGAATTATATCATTATCTGACTAACGTGGTACTAAGTGTAGTGAATGTTATAATAATGTACAGAATGTCATTGAAATGCTCGAGTTGTCATATAAAATTAGTCGGAAAGTATTTTCCAAAAAATATAAGTGATAGTTTTTTAGCGATTTATTCTTTGGGTATATATAGTTAGAAATAGATCAATCAAATAGCTACTTATATAAGCAATATTGTCGCAACGACAAACTCATTAACCACAATCTAGAAAAACGACACTTTATATTCCAAAAAATACGTGAGACACAGTAGTAATTCGGGTCAAATTAAGGCCCTATAATAGTATAATGAGTCTTAGAATACTGCTATATAATTAACACACGTGATACATCATTAATTGGAAAATGCAGTTTTTTTTCTGAATAATTTCAAGTGTATGATCGTCATTCGTACGACGCAGCATTATTTTCGGTCACTAAAATTAGGAGCTTTTTCAAGAGTTCACTACCGACATAAATATATATATATATATATATGTTAGAGTTATTCGACTTGTTAAATAAATATAATATTCATTTAACAAGTCTGCGAGCAGTGCTCGGATTTATTTTTTTTTTTTTGGAAAATGGTTTTCTGAGTTGACAGAATTTCTATACAAAATAAAATATTTCCCTAAACTTTTGTAGCCCAGCGCTGTCTAAGTTGAAGTTGAGTAAAAGCCGGATAATACTGAAGTCAGGTATTTGAACCCAGTTCTCTATATCCATCAAGATGCGTAGGCTCTTTAATGAACACGCCATGACGCACAATCATCAACATTTGCTTGTGTTATTCCAAGAGTTCTCAACCAGTGGGTCATGGTCCACCACTGGGCCACACAAACATTTTTAGATGGGCCATAAACCTATCAAAAATTGCTGTAGTTATCGACTGATATGTTGTTAATTTCGATTGTATTAGAAATGAATGATAATGGTGTTTTTTACTACTGAGTGGTAATTTAAATTGTAATTATTAAAGTGAAAGTGTCAATTTTGCAAAAATATTATTATTTTTTTTCAGTTTTTGCCTTGGATGAAAAAGTTGACGGGCCACATAATTTTTGTGAAACGAAAGTTAGCCACGAAAGAAAAAGGTTTGAGAACAACTAGCTATACATATGAATCTTTTTTGTCAATAATGGAATATTCTGACCTGTTACACGCACACAGTGAAAGAATCAACAGAGGTCAATCGTTTACCTATCCTACCTCAACGTAAGTCATCAGCAAATTTATTTGGTCATTAATCATTCTTTGCCAAGAGCAAAGCATTATATTCTGATGCAGGTGGAAAGGGAATTATTCATCAACGTTATCACACGCAGCTCTCGGTGAAATCATATTCTGATCACGCACTTTCGTTAGTAAGGTTGCAGTTAACAAGAGTGTCGTATTGTGATAGTCAGGCTCCATAATAGTAAAGGTGAGAAGTTAAAATTCCTTTTTTATAAAAGAAGTTATTGCTTTATAGATTAAACTTACATCATTACAATAGCGAGTTACCAATCCTATTTCTTAGTGAACGGTAAGTAAACCTAAATTTAATTGACGTTATATAGATTGAGTCATATTCAATGTATATAGCACTGTTTGGTCTCCTGTTATTTCCGAGTTTATTACTAATAATTTTTGATAGTATACCACGAGTAATTTTGTCGTATATCGCCCACCGAAGTGTCTTCCAAGGTATACATACGCCTAGGAGGCTCATTCTGATTATTTTTGCTGAACTGCAATGAGAAAAAAAGATTTATTCCGTGGAACTCACGCTATTGAGCCAGATTGAGTTAATCATACGCTTTTACGTGGTAGATTTCCTGTAATATCACTATCTTGAGGTATACCTGATCCTATACTCATGCTATACTACTAGCTTTTCGTAGATCTCATGCCATATTACTGATTTGGGTTATTCTCAAGTTATACTCATGCCATACTACTGATCTTTGGTTATTCTCATGGTATACTCATGCTATACTACTACTTTGCTGCTAGACCTCACGCTACACTCATGCTATACCAGGGTGGTCCCAAGGTTGTCGGCCTCGCGGGTCACATTATTATTTTTATTGTGCGCGGGCCACAATAGTGCAAAGAAACAGTGCAATACAAAACTCAGGTAAACAGTGCAATACAAAACAAACACTTTTATTGTTCAAACACATTGGTATTGTTTGTCATTTATCAAGCTAAAACATGCGAGAAAAATCATTAAAACGCGCAAAAATCTTTCTATGTCAACATTTAGTGTAAAATTTCAAACTCTTAATAACGGAGAAAGTGACATAAGGAGATTTAGGTTGTCACCGGCACAACTTACGAACATAGTAAGCAAACATTGTGGTATTTTCCCTCCGACGTCCAGTCAAAAATATCTGTTTGAATTGGTCAGCTTTCTTTTCAAACTCATGTTTACAAAATAACTTATAAATAAATAAAGATTGATCGATTACAGAACTTGACCTAATTGGAAATACAGGAGGGTAGTTACTAAATTTTCTGACATATAGGCAGCATTTTTGTAATACTGATTAGGCTGGTTGCAAAAAAACACCCGGCAAGAATTATTTTGTTCGTCCATAACAATAATATTCAGTAATCAGGCGTAGCCAACCTAAGCTTATAGATTCCTCATTCGATTTTGGTTTTCTCTGAATCCTATTTTGTTAGCATATATTCCCGACCAAAAAGTTAAAAAGTCGGTAAACAGTTTATACTAGCCAAGCACATTGTTCAACTTCGCTAGTTGCCTAATCTAGCACTAACACTAGTCAATTTAATGGCCTTGATGGTGTGAAAATATCTCAAAATAATTTCTGTTTATTTTTATGACGAAACAACACCAAATGCGTTTTTTTTTGTTTACCTTCCTGCAAATGCGACGCGGGCCACGGATACGGAAGCGGCGGGTCACATTCCACTAGCTCAAGGCAGATCTCCCGCTTTAGCGTAGTATCTCTCAGGTTATACTACTAACTTGAGGCAGATTCACGTTTAAATACAAGCTTGAAGTATATGTCAAGCTGTATTGTGCTGAACATCATGATATAGTATTAGCTTAAGTGGAATGTAGCACAACAGTGCGGTACCACACGCTATAATACTGGCTTACGACATTTCTCACGCTATTGTGGGATACAAATCACACGATAGTAGCGCCTGATTACCAATCATGATAGTCACACGTGCTCATCTAAACAACTTTATATCTCCTCACAAGTGAAACGAAATTAACATATTAGAAAAAATGAAAAAAATATAACACTTCTTAAATATACCGTAGCAAACGTTTAGGACGGAAAGAACTCTTCCACGTCCCCTAATGATGTTGAGTTGTGCATTCGTCTCGCACATTCTAATTCTCTACATTGTATAATTCCACGGTTACATTTTATATACAGGGTGATCAGACCAAGTGTAGAGGAATGTTTATTAAAAGATTTAGAATATAAATGTAGGAGAAAATAGATTTCTGCTGCAGAAATTAGCATTATAAAGATAAATAATAGAATTGATTGTTATTTTTTGATATATTCTCCCTGTGCCTCCACTACGCGCCTCGATCTGATTGGAACTTAACTGCAAGAGGCACGTTTGGTTCCTTCTGAAATTTTGTCCCCACAAGTCATCAATCTATGCTTTAGAGCAGATGTTCTCAGCCTCGGGTACGCGCACCCCTAGTGGTACGCATGCAGCTTTGAATTATTGCAAAAATTAACTTTTGTATTCGCTGAACAGCGTTTATAGCGATAAAAATCCTTGTCTTTAGAGATCGCCCCCGCCCGTTACTGTCCTACAAAAACGGAACGGGCATGTTTTCGTCGTTTTGTGTGTTACGTTACAATGCATCTACATTTAAATCAGCAAATAAGGAAGCTTCCGTGATAGAGGCTAGTACTGATCAAGGTATTTCGGATAATTTAGTGGTTATGATAAGATATATTGTGACGTAACGCGCAAAATGGAAAAACATGCTCGTTTCGTTTTAGGTGGACAGTAACGAGAGAGATAGAGAAAGACAAAAAAACTGGCAACGCTCTAAACGCCGTTAAGCGAATACAAAAGTTAATTGTTGCATTAATTCAAAGTTGCTTTGGCACCACTTGAAAAGCTATCGTGTATCACTAGTGGTGCGCGTAACCCAGATTGAGAACAACTGCTCTAAGACGTAGATTGACGAATAGTTAGGCCAAATTCCGGAAAAAGCCATACGTGCCTCGTGCAGTCAAGTTCCAGATCGAGGCGAGTAGTAAAAGCAATAAGGGGATATTACGAAAAATATGAAGAAATTCTATTACAGTGGAAACTCTACCTACGAAAGGCTCTGGATACGAAAAATCAAACTTGCAAAAATTCTTATCGTAAAAATATTGCTTCGACTAACGTAAGAATTTTTTGTCATACGAAAGGCCAAGAACCGAAAATAAAAAGCGCGTGTTGTGATCTAAAAGCAAATCTAATTGTTTCCATCCTCGGTTTCGATAGTAACCCAACATGATGGGAAATTTTTTCATTTCTTGCAATTAAGAGCGTAAAAGTAGCTATTTAATATTATTTAGTATCAATCGCAGATTTCATCGTTATCCCGGCGTCGTTGATGACAATATCGTTCAGTTTGACGGTATTAATTTATTATTAAAAATAAAATCATAACAACCGACATGAAATATTTAAAACAGCGCCAACACGGATAGTCTTAATTCTCGAAATTCGCAAAAGACGAATATAGACGTAACAGTTAAAACAATAGAAAATGGAATGATGAAAAAAAAGTAAAACTAGAAAAGCAAATAAATAAAAAACGGAAGAGCGAAACGAAGAAAGAAAAATTTTAATTTTATGCGCGTTTGCTCATATTTGTACATTACGTTCTCTGCCAGCTATCAAATTTTAACGCCTTCTCTCACCTCTTCCGACCGCCGTCCTCGCACTATCGACGGTCTTCGCTTAGTTTCGTTGTAAAACGCCAAGATAGAAAAAACATACATTTCGTATTTATTGTTCGTTATTTCTCTGATCTTCCCTCTTCCCATGCGTACCTTTTATATTTATTATGCAGTAATCTAATTCTAACAAGTATTTGTTACGGGTTTCAATCATTATTATAATTTATACAAATATTATGTCGGGGTTTCGTGGCAGCTTGAAACGGATTAGGACATTTACGGGTAAAATGCCACTTCCGGTCCCCACAGAATTTTCTACTTAGGTAGACGCATCCACTGTATGTGTGTTGGATGTTTCAATATACATTTGTCTACACTTGGTTTGATCACCCTGTATATTTTCACTTATTAATTAAATGTAAAAAATAATGATCATTTTTTATTTAGAATTCCGCGCCAAGCGCATAGCTCGTTCGTCTGTTAAACATCCAACCGATAAAATGACAGAAGGAATTTCTCAGGAAGTCTCAACAACTTACGAAAACACATCAAGGAACGGAGCTTTTGAATTGGAGAATTCAACACAAAGTAGATGCAAAAACGACAACACGAAACAGACTGAAATAGCCGCATCAGTCGTACTTGGGATCTTGCTTGCTATTGCCATAATGATTATACTTATACAGTTATTCAGGTGAGAATAATATTCAAGTGACCACCAATGTACAGCTCAATGCCTCAGTTACCATTTGTACAAGTTTTCCTTAATTAGGCGCTGACTTTACAGTATAAATTGGCGAACAAGATGCTGGGGTAGTGTTCCCATAGTCATTAAAAGTGTTACATTGAATAGCAAAAAAAATGAGTAGAATAACGTGTCTCGCAGAAAATTCAATTTGAAAAAAAAAATAGTATAATAGCAATAGCTTGAAATCGATTAGTCTTATAGTTGCAGAGTAACCAGATTTTTCCGCACCCAGCGGTTGTCCCCGAAACAACAACACTGTATGAAAAAAAATTCGTTTATTCACTTCCAATCTAGCATAAAAGCTCAAATACATGGACACGAAGTTCGCGCACCGATGTCAGTTTTATTTTAGCTGTAACTTTAAAGAATAAATCAACTGACAAATGTGACGGAATAGTGTTCTTATAGCAATAAAATAAGACATCAACATTTTGGATGAAATGCAGGGCCCAATACAAAATTTCGAAAGAAAAACGAAATAAAGGAATTGTATTCTAGCGTCTACTTCCTACCTTAGACCTAATGGTGGACATTATTAATCTATTGGTAAAATTGAAAAGCGATATTTTACAACAACAATAACAACAACAACAATTTAGTACAACAATAATATTTCATGAAGCATTAAATTTACCTCTAATTTCAGGTTGTACAGAATCAATCGTAAAATATCTGAGTATCATAAATTGAGTGATACTGGCGCTGAAAATCGTAAAAAAGACATTGGAGATGGCGAAGTTGATAACCAAGACCAAGACGAGGTGGAATATGATGAAGTGGAATTTGAGCAAGAGAGTGAGATGGAACCGGTGTACAACGTCGCGTCTAAACCAAAGACAAGCGAATAAAGCGAGGGAGAAATTCTTTACAATGTATTGTAGGACAAGGATATGCACCCCATCCCCCCATTTGGGGGGGGGGGTTCTTTATATTTGCGTTATTAATTTTGATTTTATTTACTACTCCAGCATTACTGTAATACTCATATATACACGCATTTTTCATGCGCACAACGGTACTCCCGTAGTGAGTGTACCAGGTTAGGGTTAGGGCATGATTTTATTCCGATTTCTCTCTATTTTAGTTCTATTACAAGTTCGGGGGCCGTCTGTGTTAGCCAAGTGAATAGGCAGTCTTTTTATACAACCCTTTATAAATAAGCGAACGAAATTAGTTACCTCCGTATTGGTACACACACTTCTGGAGCGTCCACACCACCAACTACTTAAAGTAGAAAGGTGGGAGGTCGACTTGCGCATACAATTAGCAAATGTTTAATAAAAATTGACTGAATAAATTACTTTTATGTATAGTATATTTAGGCGGAGCAGGGAATTTTACAAAAAGGTTGGAAACCACTGCCAAAATGATAGCTATTTGGCGAACTTGACGGCGATATTTATTAACTGAATAATTTCAAGCCCATTCGATTAGGCTATTAGGCGTTTATAAGTAGTAGCTATGTTTTTCCACAATGCTGAAAATGCACTTTGAACTGGTTGAGTGGGGCAAATTGCAATTTCAAGCGTGTATTAATAATCTTTAGTAGGTACAAACTCACTTGCAAATTGACAGCGTGACGATTATTGTGTATATTTATTAATTTCTCCTCGAGCGTATTTGTATACTAAACACGAAGCTTCTCGAATTTTTTTTATGAGATGTTCTCTAGCATTATGTTTATTTGTGTTGTATTATTATATAAATGTCTGTAATAATATTTTTTATAACTTTTCGATCAAACACAAATATAACAAAATAAATCTTACTATCTGAATATCTGTTGTATATTATCATCAATTAGCAGGAACAATTCCACTTGACGGTGCGACCATAATTGTTAATATTTATTATTTTCGCTATGACGATATTAGTATATTTACTGTAAATTAATCTTTCTTTATTGCGATATTCCCTGGAAGTATGTTTATTTGTGATTTAATATTATATATTAAAATTTCAATCAATCACAAATATAAAAATATAAATCTTACTATCTGCAACATTTTCTAATAAAGATATTAGCAGAATGTGCTTTGGTTGATGCACACGATGTAAAAAGATAAAACCTTCGGAACAGCCCTTCCTACAATTAATTGAACTGAATTGGAAAATTCACCGTCGAGCACTTGATGTTGCAACTCTTTAACTGCAATCTCGAGAAATTGACTATCCATGATAAGAGATGTTAGATTAATAATTCTTATGGAAACCACCGTAAAATAGTAGTTTCCGATCTCCAAAATTTTAGTTTTTTCAAATTAGATATTTGAACCTTGGATGTCTCTGCTCGATAACCAGCTTTGGTTACTCCCGGCTTCCTATTTCTAGTAAAACTCTGTAATTTTAATTTTTTTTTTTTTTGTGTTCTATTATTTTTTTTATTTATTTACTGCTTTGAATAAAAAAAATTTGATTTGACTTGTTATTACTTACAAATTTTGCTACGCCGATAAGGTCATGAAACTTTCGGAAATGTGTTATTGCTGTCTGGGCTTATGTTAATTAGCATCTATATAAATATTTGTTTTGAAGAGTCGCCATCAGTCCAACTCAATAACAAGATAAAAAGACTGTAGGCCTACTAGCTAATTTGCAAATTGGGGGGAAATTTCCAGTTCAACCGGGCGCGAACTCATTGAAGAAATATTCAAATTAAGTGACTACATTACAATATGACCAACTCGGTTACACTCTGTCCAGCTTAAAGCCAGTTTTTCAGATTTATACCTGTATATTTCATAGAAATAAGTTAAAGTAATGCATTGAGCATGCATATGAAGTAACGATATGATATTATATAAAGTAATGTGTTATTGTTGTCAGGCTTTTGTTAATTTGCATCTGTAATGACTAATTGTTTTATTGAAGAGTCGCCTTCAGTTCAACTCAAGAATTCCACAAAAGGACTGTACTCGCTAATTTGCAAGTTAGATGAAAAATTCCAGTTCAACCGGACGCAAACTCATTGAAAAATTATTCAAATTATGTAACGACAATACAGTATGATCAACTTTGTCCAGCTTAAAATCAGCTTTTCAGGACTATACCTGTATATTTCGCAGAAGTGAGTTAAAGTACTGCAATAAGAAGGGATATGAAATAAAAATATAGTAATAGATAAAGTATTTCGTTTACGATTTTATGTTAATTCATGACCTCGCCAAAATTTTCATTCTTATATTACTGGGTCATACATACAGTATCGTTAGATAACAGTGGCTGATTGTATGGGGCCTTGTTCGAGACGAAGGTGTGTTTCAGGCAGTCGATCTGTCTTAAGATACACTTATCAGTGTTCTTCAGCTTTTTTCATCACGATCCACTTGGCACGGCTAAATATTTTTGCGATCCTCGGGAACAAAATGAAAATAAAGTTAACTTTAATAATACAGGAGATATTGAACAAAAATTATTAAAATTGACCATTAAACGGCCGTTGTCCTTACTTATTCTCGCATAAAATATCGAACTTTGCTCTCTTTCGGCGATGGTGGGTCTCAGTATAGTACTGTTTCAAAAAAATTCAAATTCGATTGATACTTTTAAAATTCAACATAAGACAGTGTCGAAAAAGATTTTACCGCAAACTCTATTGAGCCCATTGAAAAAGCACTTTGGGAAGAAGGGGTGGGAAATTTGAAGAGCCGTGACTAGTGGAAGCCTAACAGTTTTTTCATGAATTCTGTTAAACTCTATAAAAGCAACTTACCAACCAGAAAGAGATTCTTTAGTAGGGGAAAATGCTGTTATTCTTGTTTGTTTTAAATAGTGCTTTGATTTTATGTTGTGATACTAATAATTTCAGGTGACTGTACAGAGGGTAACAGAAAACATATCGATACTTGGTGAATAGAATAACCAAATAATTTCAAGATGCTCAAAACTTTAATATTAATAACCACATTGATGGCTATGATCTGCACGACTACAATGTCCTTGCGATTTCTAGCGGGAAGCGTAAAAAGAGGAAGGCAAGTAACTTGTTACTCAAGTTATGACCAATTTATCATATATGACTGACATAAGACGTGCCATCAGCGTGAATAATTGAATTGCGATTCAAGAATTTAAAATCAAGGAGAGAGTTAGGCTCTTGAGAACAACCACGCTGGGGAATCAGAGTTGCGATGGCGAGCGTATTCCTAACGCTTAGCACGATGAGCCTCACCGTCGAGAACGAAAACTGCATTATATGGATCTTTTGTAGAAAGCCTCAGCCATTAATGCAAAAATGTGACATTTGAGAAAACGCCCCCACCACGTTTTAAATACTGCCGGTTGCGATGTAAATTCAAATTTTTAATCACTCCATTTTTTATTTTATCAAATCAAAGACCTTTGAAATTTTGGGTTGGATCGCTGAATTCCATTAATGAATGAAAATTCTAAATGGGTAATTTACTAATTTTTTATTTTGTGCGGGGGTGGTTATTGGCGGGGGTATTCTACATAGATCACACTATATTATATTTAAGCTTATTACCAGAAAAGTTCACATTTTATATATGTTATATTGTGTTACTACCAAGCAGCTTAAGTTATCCACAAATTGTATATTTTTGTGCTAACATGCCACGGAGTAAATCGAATAAAACTATGACAGGTAGTTAAGTCATATTTTGCAATTGGAATTCGATTTACACTATATTTGAAAATAATGATAATATAGAAGCTTCTATATTTCGCGTCTATCATTGTGTAATAATGCTAAATTAGAAATTATGGATTATAAGTCAGAAAAACATGTGTGATTAAATTTTTTTTTCGTGTTTTTCATTTTTCCGTACAGAAAGACGAAGTTTACTCCCGCATTCAGGACTACTGTGAGGAATACTGGTCAATGGCGTTGGGTGATCTACACATTGCACAGACGCCATCAAAGATATATACATACTTGGAGTCAAAACAAAGAGAGACATGGGAGTATGTACGAATTTACGTTTGAATAAACCTAAAATTTCTAAACACATGGTTACAAAATATTCAAAATTGAATTTGAAAATCAAGGCAAAAATAATGGCATTATTTCCGGCCCAATTTATAGAAATGCAGAACGAAGCATAAAACAGTGAAGTTATAAAACAGTGATTCATAACCTTTATTTTTCTGTGGCCAAATTTCAGCGACAAAAGAAATAATATGCCCACAAACCTTTAATAAAAGCTTCATAAAAATAGATTTTATTGATATAAACAATACAGAAAAAGTGTCAATGACCAAACTAATCCTTGTGTAACTTCATCATTTGTCAAGTTGACTTCCGAAATTTAGTTCAATTTCAGACATATATTTTTAGGACCATATGTAAGCACAAGGTAAACTCCAGACCCATTCAAAAAAATCAAGATGCTCAAACCAAAAATTTAATTCCAATCTTTTCGTGGTTGTTTGCGTAAAGCATATATTGAATGAAATGTACAAAACATTTCATTTAAATATTTTTTAGCTGATCAAGAGTTGGAAGATTCGATGGAAATCCAGGATATGTTTGATGAGGCAATATAGGATGAGACACACAAAGAATAAAAAAGGAACTGGCATATATTCAGAAAAACATATATTTTTTATTGACAACAATTTACTGGAAAATGAACTGTAACTTACTTACAAGCACGAAATATTTAACATAACTCAATTTTTTTTTGTCGTATGTGATTATTTTGTTTCCAGAATATGTTGGATGTGACGATGTAGGGTTTGATAAAGTCTGAAACGTACAGGGTGTCAATGAGGTCCAGTGTTAAAATACGTAAAAAAAAATTGACCTGCCTCGTGCACTAATAGTTGGCATATAAAGGTGTAGCAAATGAAGTACCAGGTTAGGGTTAGGCCATAACTTTATCCTGATTTTGCCTTATTTTTGTTCTATTATGAGTTCGAGAACTGTCTGTGTTCGCCAAGTGAATATACCCTCATAGGCCCAGTCCCTTTACGCAACTTGATATGAAGTAGGCGAACAAAACTAGCTACCTCGATAATGTTACACACACTTCTGGAGAACAAAAAAACACTGATCTAAATAAAATCTGGCCAAGGTATACCGTAAACTGACTATACAACAAATTTTAACACTGTAACAGGCTTTATGGACCACATGATTGTGACTTATCGATTTTAATCGGTAAGTATGCCTGTATGCATGCATGCCTGCATGCCTGCATGCCTGCATGCCTGCATGCCTGCATGCCTGTATGCCTGTATGCCTGTATGCATGTATCCCCAAAAACAGCGCTCTTACTCCATAGTGACACCTTGTGTCCCATCACTAATTAATTAATAACTCGCTAATTATACGACATAATTTGCCCAAAATCAATAGGCTTCCGGTACGAGATAAGATGAACGCACATGCAAAATTTGGAGCAGATTCAATCTCGCTTTCATGAGATATCGCATGCATCTAACAGACAAACAGACAAACAGACAAACAGACAAACAGACAAACAGACAAACAGACAAACAGACAAACAGACAAACAGACAAACAGACAAACAGACAAACAGACAAACAGACAAACAGACAAACAGACAAACAGACAAACAGACAAACAGACAAACAGACAAACAGACAAACAGACAAACAGACAAACAGACAAACAGACAAACAGACAAACAGACAAACAGACAAACAGACAAACAGACAAACAGGACAAACAGACAAACAGACAAACAGACAAACAGACAAACAGACAAACAGACAAACAGACAAACAGACAAACAGACAAACAGACAAACAGACAAACAGACAAACAGACAAACAGACAAACAGACAAACAGACAAACAGACAAAAGACAAACAGACAAACAGGACAAACAGACAAACAGACAAACAGACAAACAGACAAACAGACAAACAGACAACAGACAAACAGACAAACAGACAAACAGACAAACAGACAAACAGACAAACAGACAAACAGACAAACAGACAAACAGACAAACAGACAAACAGACAAACAGACAAACAGACAAACAGACAAACAGACAAACAGACAAACAGACAAACAACAAACAGACAAACAGACAAAAGACAAACAGACAAACAGACAACAGACAAACAGACAAACAGACAAACAGACAAACAGACAAACAGACAAACAGACAAACAGACAAACAGACAAACAGACAAACAGGACAAAACAGGACAAACAGACAAACAGACAAACAGACAAACAGACAAACAGACAAACAGACAAAAACAGACAACAGACAAACAGACAAACAGACAAACAGACAAACAGACAACAGACAAACAGACAAACAGACAAACAGGACAAACAGACAAACAGACAACAGACACAGACAAACAGACACACAGACACACAGACACACTGACAAACAGACAAACAGACAAACAGACAAACAGACAAACAGACAAACAGACAAACAGACAAACAGACAAACAGACAAACAGACAAACAGACAAACAGACAAACAGACAAACAGACAAACAGACAAACAGACAAACAGACAAACAGACAAACAGACAAACAGACAAACAGACAAACAGACAAACAAACAAACAAACAAACAAACAAACAAACAAACAAACAAACAAACAAACAAACAAACAAACAAACAAACAAACAAACAAACAAACAAACAAACAAACAAACAAACAAACAAACAAACAAACAAACAAACAAACAAACAAACAAACAAACAAACAAACAAACAAACAAACAAACAAACAAACAAACAAACAAACAAACAAACAAACAAACAAACAAACAAACAAACAAACAAACAAACAAACAAACAAACAAACAAACAAACAGACATACAGACATACAGACAAATACCTATCAACATACTTACCGATAAAAATCGATAAGTAATAACCATGAAAAAGTCTTCTTGTTAAGACCTTTTTGTGAATCTTGCTGAAGATCAGGATACGCTACAGCACATAGACACAATCTAATTTTTTCATAAAAACATACTTTGTTGAATGGTTTATCTACTCGACCAACAGGCATGAATTTGATGCTTCTTCATAACCATAGTTTGAATACTCGTCGAGCGCGTATTATACTGGTTCAATATATTTTTATATTCCGTAGAGTTAAATTTTTCAATCCAAAATATTAAAATCATTTGTTTAAATGACAAAATAAAAATGACAGCATTTTTGGTATATATTGTATTTTGATTAACATTTAAATTTTAAAACTAATATTACAATTACAAAATTAGTGAAAAGGTTTTTGTTTATTACTCTAGTCAACAAATGTTATCATGCGTCATTAAATGGCACGATGTTTTGTCAAAACAAATATTTTATACAAAGTTTCAATAAGAAACTAAGTCATTTAAACTGTCGCAAAAAGCATCATAAGTTATCAAAACAAACTCAAACGACTTAACAAAACTATTTTGTTAGTTGAGATAGAAATTATCATTTATAATATATTTGACAAAATATTTTTTCAATTGTACACTATTGTTTTATACGTATAGAAAATGAATTTGTTAATGAACAAATAAAATCATTAATCTTACCAGAAATGCATTACGTATACAAAAAAAGATTTTGTGATATCTATTGCATAAACTTTCCATGTTACTTTATTAAAAAACGTAGAAATACGAAAAATAGAATAAACGTATCAGTCAACTTTTATTTACGAATAATCAGAGTGTGAAAAATATATATTTGCAGAAAACAACAGTAAACAAATGACTTGCTAGTGTGTATATGACATCCGGTTCGAAAACAAACATTTAATTATTTAAAGGACTTCGATGCTCTGTAAGAGTTTCCTAATCGAAGTTGTGTAATAGCATTCCAATCACCAATCAATGCCGAATCATTGGACCTCGATTTTATTTAAAGTTTGAACTGTAATAAAGTCAAAAACCATAAACTTTTATAACTGTGGACGATTATTTGATTCAAATAAAATGAGAACACTACATTGTGTGGACTCAACTCTCAGTTGAAATATATCTTATCTAAAAAAGCAAATAAAAGTTTCCTAAAAATATCCCAAACATGTTTCTGGCAATAATTGACTGACTCATAAATTAAACAACGAACAAAAACAAAATAAAATATCTAAGATCGAATCCTAAATATAGATGTCACTGTTAACTGTTTACTGAAGATTTCGGATTATTTACAAACTTCAGTTTTCAGTAACAATATCATCAAGGATTCTTCAGTGAAAGATTTGAACGGCATATTCTCCCGTGATCCTGCATAAAAATAAATAAAATAAAATAAAGAAAATTTGAATTTACTGTAATAAATGGGAACGAGGTAATGGTGTTCTTACTTTTCTGATTGAAAAATTTCCTTGAGTTCTCCAATCTTCTCTTCAAATGTAGTATCCAATTCCTCAATTTCTTCGTAAATATTTTCAGATGATACATCTGACCAACGTTGTGACCTTGGTAAATCCATCGTTGGAAGACTAGGCAGGCGACGGAGTAAGAATTTATTTGTGTCAGGTGGTTGGTTCTGATCGCTAAAAATTAAAAAAATTGTGAATCATCTCTTCGGAATGATCAACATTATTTGTCTGTTGCAAAACATTTATATGTTGAATTAAATTGTTACATTCAATCATGTCTGTTTTCGTAACTGAATAAACAACACATTCTAACAATTTGATATCTCATTGTTACTAAATTGCATACAAAAATATCGTGTTCTTATTTTCGAATATGCAAATTTGATACTAAACACATTAAATTAAACTGATAAACAAATTTTAAATTAATCGTAAAAAAATTATAACTGAAAGTTTGTTGCAAGGGCTCGGAACAACTGAATGAAAATATTGATTGTGTAATGTGTGACAAAAAATATGCCTACCATTCAGAAGTTGTTGGAGCAGATGTTGTAGAATTATCGTTGCATGGGGTGTTTTCACGTTCGACATTTGCATTTACTGATTCAGAAATATGTTGTTGCCTGCTGTTGTTTTCTTCCTCATCCTCATTTTGAAGGATTATTACAATCACAAGGATAAAAAGGATAAAAAATAAGATGATACTACCAAGGATAATGAGTATTTTTTCAATGTCTGTCAGGATGTGATATCGATAATCTGTCGAATGTATCAAAATATTTAATAAAATATTTTGTTGAATTACTAAAAATATTACAGCTATAATTTGCTCAAAATTGTTCTAGAATAATCAGTTTAATAATTATTTGTTCGTAATTTTCATATTTAATTTTTTGTCTGACAAAATCAAACAAGTCATTCTTTTTCATATATTATGCTACGATTTTTGTGTTAATATTGTTTGAGAAAATTCATAAAAATAACTGTAATATATTTGCGTATTCGATATCATTAAAATTACATTTGAGCCAAACCTAAAGTCACATATTTCAATCTGAATTGCATTATAGATGGCTCGCACATGTATTTCAGATATATTTTGGTAGTGTTGTCCACTTTTCGAGCAACACAATTTGTATCTTTAAATCCCCCGTCACGAGACGTGTAGTATATCATACACACATATTTTGCGTTCGAGCTGAAGTTGATATTTTTGTTATAGCCTTCTAAAAATATAAAGTTTTGAAGGTATGATAAAAAAAACAATTACATTTTTTATGTTAAGAGCTTGAATAAATTTTTTGAGTTAAAACATTTTTAAGACAGTAAACCTAAAAATAATATTCTTAGTTTTTATATTTTCTGATCGAAGATGACAAGGGTTTTTAAATTGGATCAATAATACAAAATTATAATAATAATAAAGATGTGTTATTGCTTTAAATTTATGAAATTTAAGTATTCACTCAAAATTTGATGGTTTGGTTTAAAATCAACATAATGTTAGTATAAAATACACCATACCTGTTGTTTCAATCCACAGTATTTCTCTGTCCTTTGCACTTGTAGTTCCAGTGAAGTTGAGAATTATTATTTTTTCTGTATTCTCTTGATAATGATCAGAAGACATATAAAACCACCAAGAACATACTCTTTGACCACATTCCGATTTGTTGTTAGGACTTTGAATTGTTCCATTGTAATTGACAATTCTCTTATCATTGCATGTGTTCTCTTATAAATAAAAGTTGAAACTTAATTACACGAAAATTGAGCTGTTGTAAAAGTGCTGGCGGATCCAAGTGATATTAAATATAGAGTTTTGATAGAAAATAATAAAATATGTAAAGTGTGAAATAAAAATATGAAGTATTTCATTTCAAGATATTTGAATGAGAAAAATTTATTTCAAGTTGTATGCGGAGCTCGTTATGGTGCTACACCAGACATTGGAAAATTACGGACGGGGGCCAAATCCGGCCCGTTAGATGATTCGATATGGCACTGCTGATGCTGCCACAACAAAACTGAAACCAAAATTTTATTTTTAGCTAAAAACAGCTTAATGAATTTGTTGAGATTGCGATTTAATTTAGTTTTGGCACGAGGTCTATTGTTTTCCACCTTTGCTTTGTAACACTGTAAATATTGTTAATTAAATGTAATTTTTACGTCACACAAACATGGCCCGCCATACTGGCCCCTGGTTTAAATACCTTGCTCACCCTTGTGCTACATCAAAAATCAATTTAGATGAACACATTTTAAGTATCCGAATATAAAAAGAGCAAAATCAAGAAGATTAAGACTTTTAAATATTTATCCAAGATCAAATTACATACCACAAGGATAAAAAGCATAGTCCGTAGTAAATTGGAATCTGCTTGGCTCGCATTTAAATTTGAGTATGACGTCATCTTGTACTTGACGAGTCTCGCATTGTAAAGTTTTTATTTCATCCAAACAATTATCAGAGATGTAGTAGGACAAGCATACAGAGGATGTTGATACCGAATCGATTTTTTGGTAACTCAGTCCTAAATTCAAAATTTTCGTTTTGTGTATATAAGAATAAAAATAGAAATTGTATGTTTTTGGAAATATTCAGCGTTTAGCATATTATGTGTTATCAACTGTTTTACTTTATATTGTTAACTAGTGTGACTGTTATTAATATCTTTGGTACCTTCTCCTTCAATCCAGAGTAAATCATTATTCTTGACACCAGAAATTGTCGAAACATTCAATACAAGTAAGTTATCATTTATGTTATAATATCCATCTTTTTTCAACTTAAATCTCCATGAACATATTTTGTCTTTGCATTCGTTCTGGTTTGAAGGGCTGATTATTGTTCCTGATCCATGATTGATGTAACTACCATCTTCGCACGTACTAGCTGTTGAATACGATATCAAACCTGAAATAATAGTTTTATTACCAACAATCAGAAACCATCAAAATACGTTATTAAAATGCTAGACAATAGTCATTAGCTTAGTATTAGTAAGTGATCAACAATAGTGCAATAGCTTAGCATTTATTTCCTTATACCCTTGTTATAAATTATGATAGCGAGCTATTTGTCATTCAATTACTAAATTGTAAAGAAAAGTTAACAACACTTTGTGCATAAACAGATAAAAGTCAGAGATAAACAATGGACCAATAATTAAATAACTGTTTTACGCTTTATTAGGTAAGATGGCATTTTCAGGCGCATAATAGTTTTCATGCTTTCCAACATGAACTTTAAATTCATTTATTTTAAGTATTTTGTTGTTAAGTTGAAAAAAATATTACTTTATGGTCATGCGTCAAGCAAACTGAATTTCAAACATAATAGATACATATGATTTTGTTGTAATAAAATTTTTATTCAAGTTTCACATTGTAGTTTCGAGATTTTATAAATACAAGTAAGTAGTTTAATTAATTGTATTGTATGAAAATTGCATTTACTGTACTTACTTACCAAAGAACAAGAGAAGAAATCCAATTTTAGAGTACATCTTGTAGGTATCATCAACAACGCTCATGTAAAATACAAACAAAAAATATTTTTATCTAATAAAGACAATGTTAGTAAGGTCACCCATCACAGTTGACGCTTTGATTCAAACGATTCGCAAACCACCCTTGTACTTATAGGGAAAGAATAAAACAGCGCATATATAAAGAAATGTCCTTTTTTCTATAGAATTCGTATATACGCTTTGAATGACGCTTTAGCACATTGAAATATTATGAAACAAAATGTCAATGCAAGACGATGAAACTTATTTTACATCCGTTGCTCCATTTATCAATAGAACAAAAACTGCTGAAGCTATTTTTTTTACTAGTAATATACCCATAAGACACATATATATTCATTTGTTATAGAACTGCTACTTTGACGCATATCGGGAATGAAAGTACTCGCATTATGAATGTTTGCCATACATTAGATTTTGCATAAAAACAAACGGTCAATTCTACAGAAATAGTTTTCAATTTTTCCTAAATCTTAAAGCGCTGTATTGCATTAACAGCTCAGTTATAAAATAAATGCAATAAAATAATTCGATACGCACTCAAAAGTAGGCTCACTCGTCCTTTCACAATATAAATTGCCTTTGTGTGAACCGGGACATATAGATTATTCTCATTATAGCAAAACATGATAGTTTCTAAATCTAATATGTTGTAGATCCTTCATCGCTGTAAATTGAAACATGGACACATTTAGATATTTGACTTTAATAAAACTTTTTTTAGAAGTGCAATTACCACCTCGTCAAATCTCATTTGCATTGAGCGAGGCGCAGTCGCGGATATTTGTTCAGGTGCATTTGATTGCTAGAAATGGAAAAAATCCCAGCAAAAACAACAATTATATATGCTACATCAGCGTTTCCCAAACTTTTTCGGCCACGAAACACTTACACTTTTTATCTCGCCTCGCGGAACACCAAAAAATGAAAAGGTAAAATTAATAAAGAAACAAGTGTAATGTAGCGGATCCCAATGGGTTCGCCGTGGCGAGTGGCCAAATGCGCCGCGAAAACTAACAGAATTGTATTAATCATACCTATAAAATATGATTGAATATTTTTTACGTATTGCATTTATTATAAATGTTTTATTGTTTCTAAATTTGAATGTCGTGTATATGAATGTATAAATTCCTTTCACCTTTGTATGTCGAATTTAGCGAGCATGAGTAATTTTTTCAGCCTTTCAAACTAAAACCAGACAGAGATGGCCTTTATTCTTTATGTCTATACTTGTTTGCCTATAGCAAAACCAAATGAATTGCTGCAAACTTGATAATGAACTTAACAGTCAATAAACTAGGCCGGCGGTTAACGAAAGTGACACTACCCTAACATAGTTTGACCGCTTTAGGCCGACGGTGACGCGATGTTGGGAGACAACTTCAAGATGCCTTGATCGCCATGGCGACAAATTTATGAATTTTTTTTCACGGAACACTCGGAAGACGCTTGCGAAAGACAGTTTGGAAAACGCTGTGCTACATAAATGAACATAGATATCCATAAATAATATATTCATTTGTAATCCCTAGAACTTTAGGTTTGCCTTCAGTGAAGTGAACCCACTATGCAAAAATATAGGAACGTCGTATTCAATACCTCAGTTGTCTGGAATTCAATATCTCATGTTTGCCTTTGTTGCCGTATTGAGCTAAACTGATTGAAATCTTGTGCCTGGCCGTATTTAGTAAGCAGAAACTGAAAAACGGTGTGGCTTAAAACATTAAATATTCATTATTTTATAAGAAAGACTTTTTGTTAATCTCTACAAACTGTACGATTTTAAATTTATTTGTCTTATGCCTGACTGTATTTACTAAGCAAAAACAGATAAATGCTGTGGATTAAAAACATCAGCTATTCGGCAATTTATACTGAAGAATTTTGTATGTTTTTCTACCGAACGTTAAAAATTTTACATGAATACGTCTTAGTAGCTCCTGACACTAATTTTGCGCATACATCAGAGTTCTTTATTTCTGCTCAATTAATCTGGACCCTGTTCAAATTATAAAAAAAAACGGTTTGAAAATGAGATACACGTTAAATACAACCCACTTTTGATACTCTTTGTATAAACAGTTTGGAAATTTTAGAATCGTTGCAGGTAAAGTACACAAATGAGGTAGCCATATTTCATGCCCTGATGACGAGAAACTCGTACATTTCTTGTTTGCATAACCATATCAAAAGTGTAACAAATAAACTACCAATACAAACAAGAATTTGAACACGGAATTATTATATTCCAAATATTAAATTCGTCAAATAATATTTGCGTTATCACACTTGATATTCAGGAGTTTGGTCATGACAACATTGTAAGCTGTTATATTTATTTTCGGAATCTGTTGGTTCAGCTTCTATGTGGGAATTTCCAATAAACGAAAATATAGCAATGGATTTTGCTCATATGTTCTAAATAGCATTGCCCAATGTAACACATTCGCAAAGTGTTATTTCAAAAACACTCTTACACTCTTCCTGTTTCGATGCCACAGTCACATTGTTTGCTATGTACTTACATTCATTCAATACTGATGCGTGTTACAATTTGCGAAAACTGCCAACACTGTAAAAAATATCAAGATTCATGTTTTTGTTTTTATATGTTATCTTCTACTTATAGACATTTCATTGAATTACTCAAAATTATACTAAATAAATACATTCAAATAGAGAATTAGATACGTTGTTATCATGGGTTTTCGTTAAAAGGTGGCTTTTTATATCAAAATGCTTACAGTAACGCACGCTTTCAGAGTTATCTGATTTAAAATGTATTTTATGGACGTTTTATTACCTTGAGTTTATGTAATAAAAATAATAAGTAATTGAGCTCTGCACTATCACATGCATTGCATTTTCGAAAGTCTTGAAAATGATTTATCTTCACAACAAGCGCAAAATAATAACCTACATGTAGTTAAATATACCAAATGCAATAGACCAATTGACATTACTATATGTATAGTACGAATGTAATATGTATTTTTGGGTATATTTTAATCAGGAGCCATTGATTTCTTCATCTAGACTGGCAGGCCATGTAAATATGACGTAAAGAATTTTATTTATGAACGATGATTACAGAATTACAAAAGCAACAGTGGAAAACAACAAACCCTGCGCGAAAACTAAATTTAGCCACAATCTCAACACATTCCTTGAGATATCTTTAATTAAAACACCAAAATTTGGTTTCAGTTTGGTTGTGGCAGCATTGGGCGGGCCAGATTGAATTACCTAGCGGGCCGTACTTTGCCCATGTCTGCCCTATAGTAATATCTTCAAGAAGATCCTAGGCTATGGTGCGGAAGATCTCATGCTATAATACTATCTTTAGGAAGATCTCAAGCTATATTACTCGATTTAGTTAGATCTCGTGCTATACTACTCGCCTTCATTAGATATGCTATACTACTCGTTTGGTAGATCTCGCTCTACAGCGTGGTAGATATCATGCTAATCTACTATCTTGAGATAGATCTCACGCTATAGTGTGGTAAACCACATCCCGAGCTTAAGCTATGGCGTGGCAGAGCACAAGCTATATTACTACATTAAGGCCACTCATGAAGTGTGAGTTCAAATATGGAGGTAAAAAATTTTGTATTTCTATTTTACATCAATTTGTGTAAAAAGACTGGAATCTGTGGACGGAGGACAGCGAGATATATACTTGGCTATCACTGACTGTCCCCGAGATCGTAATTAGAACTAAAACAATAGAAAGTGGAACAAGATTATGGCCTCACCCTATTCTGGTACACATACTTCGGGAATACCAATTGATGTATATGTCAGGTTATTGTGTGGTTATATCGCGATATATGACTATCTAGGTTGAGTCTCACGCCACCGTGCGCCGACCTCAAGCTCTAATACTACTTGCTTGAGACAAATCTCACGACATAGTGGGATATGCATCACCAAATAGTGACATCTGATTACCAATACAAAAAGTAATTCATACCTTCGGCCACAATCAGAAATCGGGCCTAGTTCACTAAACGCCGTCGAGTACTTCTGGTTGGCGTGGCATAACTATTTTTGCATAGGCTATATCAATTCTAACCCTCACCTGACTGCGTCATCCAAACATCACGTCACCACAACGTCATGGTAAAAAAATAAGGCTTGTTATAAATATGTGAATTGTCGTCTAACTCTAAAACGCGCAGGAGACCACCCTAAATCAAGCCAGCTATTTTTCTCGTTTTTGCGTCGTAACGATCCCCATACGGGAGAGATCGCAGACTTTAGCGAATTCTTAATTGTCGACGTAGATTCGATTTTTTGACTTTCATTATTTGGCAGGTACAAATTCACTTGGAAATTGACGACATGAAAACTATTTTGTATATTTATTATTTCCTCTAAGACCTATATTTATACTGAATATAAAACTTCTCGAAATTTTTTATTGCGATATTCCTAGGCAGTACGTTTTTTTTGTGTGTAATATTATATATTAACATTTTTATCCAAACACAAGTATAACCATATAGAGTTTTCTTATAAAAAGTATTGTCAGAATGGGCTGTGGTTAATTTGCTTAATGTAGGAAGATAAAACATGTTAATAATGCATTCGAATATTCATATGTCTATGAGCTCATGAAACTTTCTGAAAATATGTTGTTGTTGTCAGAGATTTTGGTATTTTGCATTCATATGAAAAAAATTTTATTCAACAGTCGCCTTTGATTCAACTCAAGAATTCCACAAAAGGACTGATTTGCTAATTTGCAAGTTGGATAAAAAATTTCCAGTTCAACTGGGAGCGAACTCATTGAGAAACTGTTCAAATTATGCAAATTCAATATGCTCACCTCGGTTAAACTCTGTCGCACAAAAACGCGCTTGTTAGGGCTATTTAACTGTGTGTTTCAAAACGATATTTTAAACTATTGAGTGTTAAGTATGTATATACCGCAACGATATAGGTAAGACCTGGTATACAGGGCTGGC